AATATATAAGGTTTAATAAATAAAAATAAACATTACATAACATTGGTCTGTAAATTTCATATTCACATATTAGCAGGAATCAGCTAATATCCATAAAGTTTATTAAAAGTGTTTGTATATTTTATTTAATAACTGTTCGTATAAATTTTTCAGTATGTAAAAATCCAATATCTTTTTATTCTCGCCCAGCGCAAAGCGTCAAATTCATCCTGATCACCAAAGAATCGATTCAACAATAACACAAACTATGATATCACCATTACATACAACACTTTTTTTTTATCTGTAATAATTCACACAACTCGCAATTCATTTAACTTCATAAGTATAAAACAAATTCCATGACGATTAAAGTATGCAAAAGAAAAACTGTAAACATATCGTAATCTCATATATAATTGCCTGACGAAACATAAGTCTCGTCATAGTTTTGTCACCGACAAATGATGAAACTATTACGTCTCTTCAAGTCACGTGAGCTTCGTCAGGTATCAATTATCGCACACCACACTAAACGTTCGCTTTCACACACACACTCATATACATACTGTATATATGATTTGTTTTGTTTTGTTCTTGTAATCGCTACACCTGTACTGTACAATAATACACGACAACCACTGCACAAACCGAAATGCATATTACTTAATATCAGGTATTGTAAATGGATCATCAAACTGCACTATTCAAAACCATTCAAATAAATTAAATAACAATCATACAACACACATTGAATCATACATTAACCCAAGTACACACGATATTTTTAAATTACATGGTAAATCCGTACTTCAACTATTCCCCAAATGGTAAAAATGTGATAACCATAATACTTTCTAAAATAGGAAAAAATATAGCGCACCAAAAAGTTGAACGCAACCATCCCTCCCACATTTCATGTGATCGTACTGGTATAATTGTGATCATTGTTATAAAACATTAATTATGAATGATCAAGCAATTATTTTAATATGTGGGCACGGATTTCACCTAGAATGCTATAATATAATGGAAGGAAAATGTAGACATTGTTTAAATTACTATAAAGATGGTATATGAAAAAAATGTTAATGCATTTTTAAATGGCTTAAATTCAGAAAAAATAAGGATGATAATTTTGATGATGACAAGCAAGATGCTGAGGAAGAAGAAGATCCAGAAGAGATGGGAATTGATCAGTTAAACGGACAGGAAACCCTAGAATTAGATTTGCTTAATAGAATTAGTGAAATTGATAGTTGGTAAATATAAAAAGCGAAAGATATTACTTATTCTAAATTAAAAGAAAGATCCGGTAAGTCCAAGAATAATGCTAGTGATCACAGTAAAACTATACAGGTCTTGAGTATTCGACTAAGGCATGGTGCTGGTCAGGTTGATCCAATTGTTTTCTGTTAAGTATAAAACGAAAAGGTCGAGATTACGTTTGGTTTCCTAGTTTCAAATATCAGGTAGAATTTAGTTGAACATTAAAAGTTAAATTTTTTTAAAAGCAACGACATAGTAAACCTTTTTATTGAATCTGATTATACCAGATTAAATGTGAAGGTAAGTAAACGAACGAACTACCAAAGTGCCCACAAAGTTTCGTGAGTGGTTCATATACAGTGTAACCTAGTTTGCATATAAGCGAAGTTGGACTTTTTTTATTAGAGTATTATAAAAAAATTTTATGTGATCAGCCAATCAAATGGATACTTAATCATGCTGCCTGCTATGTTATTAAGTCATAAAACATTGACCTAGAAGTGATTTTTGACCACACAAGGAAATTCAAATGCAAGTAAATGATTTATAATAAACTGTTTACATTTAAGATTAAAAATCCGCGTAAATGTATTCTAAATCTACAGAATTTTGATTTGCCTGCAATAAATACGAATGGATAAGTAAATTTAGAATAGGTAAATTCTATTTTTATTAAGAGTCGACTAAGCAAATTTTTCAAAAACTGACCGACCGACCTAACAGCTAACTCGACTATCTCTCATAATTTTAAGATAATTTTGTAGATATACATTATTAACAAACCAAGTCCTAGAAAACGAAAGCCTTTAAATTTATATGAATTGGCAAACACACATAGAAGAAAATATATACATGAGAACTCAAATTACTAAATTAATATCTATAAATCCAATTAATTTCGATTAGATGAAGAGAAATGCTGCAAGAGCGAGTACAGAAAAATATAGTATATTCAGTAGCTTTTCTTAGATTAATCTTAATGATGTTTGTATAATCTAAATATACCAATTTTCTTATATATTTTACTTTACCATATGGGGTCTTTGCCTTGAAAATCACCTTCCGACATTTCCGATCGGGTTAATTCAGACAAAAACAAATCCGTGTATTAGTTCACGTATATATTTAAATCTCTTTTTGCCTTTATTGATTCGAAACATTATTCTATAAACTATTGAACCATAAAGACGAAAAGGTTTACATATAAACATGAATTAAATACACGGCTTTGTTTTTTTCCGATCGGAAATGTCGGAAGGCAATTTTCAAGGCAAAGACCTCTTGTATATATTTTGGTTTTTAATTGTATATGTTATAAGTGAAAACAGGATTTGAGTTGATTTTGAATTGTTTAGTTATATTAGAATTTTAGGGCAGAATTTGTTGTGTGTAAACCTTTATCCTAACTCTATTTTAATTAAGAAATTCCGAATACACTTGAAGCTTAGACTAAATCGTGAATACAATATATTACAAGGGTGTTTTTCTTGGAACTTAGGGTCGAAATTAATTATTTAAAGTATGTATATGAATTTTAGTTGAGCTTATATTGCAAAAGCAATTGAATGCTCTTGTAATAGTATTTTTGCATTAATCTGTTCATAGACTGTTTGATTTAGAAGGCCAAAAAAATTCCACTCTTGGCACAATTTTAAATTTATATGCCATATGTCAAATATTACAAAAAAGACCATTTATTCATATTTTTAAAAAATTAGTAATATGTTATCAATTGTAAATTTTGAATCTGTCAATATAGTAAATACTGTTGATGATATTTATTTCTCAAATTGATTCAAATTGTATTTACTGTATAGGTATATATTTTAGCAAGTCAACCCAGTCAACGTATTGATGATTTTGAAGTTCCCGACGGTAAGTTATATTTGATTTACTTACAAATAACCAAATTTATTGCTTATTTTTATATTTTTATTTAGATTATTAATCAAGTAAAAGGAGTTTTTGAATTGGGGGCATTCTATTTATTATTGACATGCTACAATAATTCAGCAATTGTTATATAACTTCATGTATGTACAATAAGTGTCTAAAAAAAGGATATTGAAAATAATAAATATTAAATTACCTTTATTACTGATGTTGATGGTAGCCTTGTTATTTTAAATGATAAGCTGTATTATAAATTTTTAATTTAAGCTGTAAAATTAAAATCTAAGTATTAAGGCTCCGGACCTCAACAGTTCTTGTTTCCTAGTATAATCAAAATCAAAATTATAATTTTATCTCGAAATTGTAATAAGTTACTCCAATTTTCTAGCAAAATATGTAGAGAAACCATTTTACATATAGTAACTCCTAAGATATTTATATTTTAAATTTTGTACTATATAGAATTTTTCTTACTGAAAAAGGAAAAAAAACTTTCAAAACTATATAAAAAAACATAGTAAATTGCGCTATAGTTACTATATAATAATATTATCATTCTTATGTGGATTGCTAATTAAATACTATTTTTTTAAAAAAAACAAAGAGAAAAAAGAAACATCTAAGCAATGATTGAGTCCGAACGTATTTTGAAAGCGAATTCAGTTTAGAACTTAATTGGGTTATGACTCAATATATATTCAATAAATAGATAGATGAGAGTAATTAATGCTAAATGTGCAAAAGTATCTTAGCATTAAATTTACGTATTTAGATAATAACGTGAGTGCCAACCAATCAAATTTCGAGTTTGATTTCGTCGATAGTCTCAAAACGCCATTTTCAAAGATATTTCAAAAGCTTTTGCCGTAAAAAGAAAAAACATAGATAATATAAAATAAAATATGAAATAACAAAATTTTTTTGTTATAGTGAAGAATATATATTATATTGTAAGATACAAAGAAAACATTTTGCATTACACTTGACGTTAAGTATTCATGAACGATCACTTTATAAATTCTAATAATTTTATATGATGATAATATGTCATCAGAATGATACATCTATTTCGTTTCTAATTTCGGAATTTCAAAACAGAAATGGAATTTTTTAAACTCCTACTTATTTTCGAAATAAGTTAGTTTTGAATCACCCTAGTATATGGACCTTCGAAGTTCGTGATGAAAACTTGAAACTTTCTTTTTTATCATAGTTAAAACATATACCGTAAATGGCCGGATACAAGACTCAGGTCTGTTAAATTGATTCAATTTTAACTAAGCATCAAGCACTTTGATAAATTTCGATCAATATTGTGTCACATGGAATTTATTTATTTGACTATCTTCATTATAGACTATATTAATTAGTAAAATTCCAAGGCTGTATGATATCATATCGCCATAAAATATAATAAAACTATTACAATAATTTTCATTACATTTGATTGAATTTTCTAATATAGTCTGTTTAAAAGATGCTCTATTATTTGCTATTGAGCGGGATCCTTGCAATGATTTAATTCGTAGGAAAAATAGGCGGTCATAACTCAAGCTTTTTTTTTTTTTTAAACTAACCGATCAATTTTTTTTATTTAGCGTTAGTCAATCAAGTCGTTGATAGATCCGTTGAGTGACGCTTGACGATACCTAACTATCATCTATATTAGTCTAAAATAAATCACTAACCTAAGAAATTGATCAAAGTTAATAGTTTAAAAAAAAATTTTATGGCAGAATGTATAAAAAGGAAATGGAAACTATCTTGTCGTTTCAAAAATCTCGAAACAAAAAAAAACAAAAAAAAAACAAAAAAAAACAATAAAAGCAAGTTAAATATCGCACATATTACTGAATAAAATGTCACCCCGCATAACTTTTTTAGTGTACATTCTAGTCACCATCACATGTATCATTCTTGTTAATGCCGTCTCTGTGAATGCCTTTTCCGAAAGTTTTGATCTTTCTTACGATAATGAAGGCGGCGATTCCGCAACAATGCCTTATCAAGATTTAGAATCTATCGTCCCTGACGAGATTGAAGCATCAGATGAATTTACCAGAGTAGGGCAAACTGTACCGCGTCATCATAGAGAATTCTATAATTGTGTTCTTTTGTGTTGGTATAGGTCGTCGATGAGGCATCGTAATTTTTCAGAATGTATCGAAACCTGTATTATCAATTTCAGACGAACAGCTTTTAATAGACCATAGATAATATTTAAAAGATGTAGTTTGTATTTAGATAGTGAGATAGTGATATGAATTTTTAATAGTTAAATTGACTTTTGAATTGTTTTGAAATTCATTAGAAATAAAAAAAGATATTATACGTAGTGGCACGTAAATATTTCCATTGTCTAATAGTGACAGAATATTATCGAATTATGAAATTAGCACAAGTTTGCATAAATGAAAACATTATTATTCGATTGTTCGGCCAAGCGAATTTTTTTTTTTTTGGGGAATTATGATAAATTTACTTTCAAAAAGAGAACTTCACTTTGCAGACCTAGGTTAAAAGTCTTTTTTATTTAAATGGTTTAGTAGCTGAGAAAAAAAACAGGCCTTCTTACAACCAAGCTTATGTATTTACACTCAACAATAAATTACGTTTTATTTTACCTAAAAGTTTTAATGATAGAAATTTTTTATTACTGTATGATACGTTTAATATTGCTACATATGACTAGAAAGTTCATATTAAATATAGGATCTTTTTTAATATCATAATATTCGTTTTCACAGTTTCAATAATTTCATTAAGACGGTGGAAGAATATCAAAAGAATAAATTTAATTTAAAAAGTTCGTTAAAAATCCTCACATACGGGTAAGTAATTCAGAAGTTTGGTACTTTCTTACCAATTTGAATATCAATTGATAGATGAAAAGGTGACATACGTATTAATTATGAAAAGTCGTAAATACGTAGAAAAGATACTCTTTAATCCTCTTGGTCGTTTGTCAGTAACGCACGTATATCCAGCATCAAGATATTTAATTTTTCCTACCGGTAAAAGCATGCATATATTTACGGATTTTAAATAATTGATTAGGAAATAATATCCGCATTATTTTGTCGTATAAATTGGATTACAGTATTTATTGAGATTTACCGACTTTTGTTAATCCAAATCTGTATTAGCTATAGTGAGAAATTCAAATCCTCACCAAAATAGCCCTATGCGTTGACGAAGTCACGTTAGGGTTATTATCGCGAGGATCACCACTTGTGGCTTATATGAATTGAGGTATATGTGCCAGGGCTTGCATGAGTAAGGCAATAGAGATGCATATGATTGTATGCGATAGAGATTATAGATATGCATGTGAAAAGATTATATATTCATATGATCGAGATTATAGACATCTGGTAGGTGCATGAAACAGAGATTATAAAGATACATGTGGGAGAATTTTAGTGCTTTCTTACTTCACTTGTCTTGTTCACTTGTTCTCTTCATTGCCCGATCGATTACGATCTGGCTTCATCGTACTTGACCCACCACACCCACCCTTATAAATCCGTTGCACCAAATACTCTGCCAGTTATCATGCGTAATAAGTTGAATGTGCCTCACCATAGCGTAGGCAAAAAAAAAAGTAGAATGTGCCACACCATAGCATGGGCTCGTACTTTTCGATCCTCATTTTATACGTACTTCGTCACGCGAGCAAGACCACGTGAACATATTGATAAAGAACGCATAAAGTAACAAATTGTTAAAGAAAATGTAATAGTAATTAAAGAGCACAATGTATGTCATAACGGAAGAGAAAGTAGTGAAGTGGAGCACTACTCCCATCATGTATCTTCATGATGTTTAATAAAGAGATCCGAGCGAGAATAAAATACAGCCCCATATATAAGAAGATTAAAATTCGAATATTTTTTTTGCAACTTTATACATTTATTAGTTTTACCGTAAAATATGGAAAATAAGCACAGCACCCTCTACTCTACTTTTTTCGATTTCAGATTGGCGAAAAAATAGCAAAAAATCTTTAATTAAGTTATTCCCGTTAATCTGAAATTGAAAAAAGGGTAGAGGGTGCTGTGCTTATTTTCCATATTTTACGGCAGTTAAATCGACAAGAACCGCTATATCTTTTTGGTAAAAAATATAGCTAACCGTTTCATAACACATATTGCTTTGGTCTCATAATAATAGGCTTCAGTTACAAAAAATGATTCCGCAACGCATCATATTATAAATATAAAATAGAATAATGAGAATGTTAAATTATGATTTTCATTAGAGTAGAAATTCCTTCGCACATCCTATCAATATAACTTCATCTACAAAAATTACATATTGCTTTATTAAGAAACTAGGCGCTTGAATTGTTCACAGGGAGTTAGAAAGGAGCGCATTGTATTAACAGGAGGAACCGTCGATGTTACACGACTTATCTTAAATTCGAATAATTGTGAAATTAAACTTCGGCTAAATTTAAAATTGAAGATTATCAGCCGAATTTTTGTTAATGCGGGTCAAATACATCACACCATTTTTGGGGGTATCTTGGATGATACGTAAGATCATATGAGACGGTAATAGTACGAACAAAAGGAAAGACAAAATAAATATGAAGCTAATAATGGCGTCATTGTTGCAATGATAATTGTACGACGTATTTGTATAGTATGTAAGGGATATAAATAAGAAATGTAAAGATATTAATTAGTACCGTAAATTGCCGGATACAAGATCCGGGTCTGTTACATTTCACCAATTTTAAAACCTATAGTTAGACCCGCGGGTCTCTTGTATGGGTGTGGGTCTGATAATTGGAAGGTTTCTTCTATTTTAATAGTATTTTCATAGGGTTTTCCTATTAGTATACCCCCGGGTCTTTTACATTTTACCAAAACTTTATCCTATATTGTAGACCCAGGTATAGTACATAGTGGGTCTACTATCTAGGGGGATCTTGTATCCGGCCATTTACGGTACTTTATCTTTGGTAAATAAATATTAAAGCGAGTGTTTGATTGTATTCTAGTAGCCCTGGACAAAATATTCGATATAGAATGCTCTACATCGATTAACAATTACACAGGTCTATTACGGATCAGGCTTAGTGAAGTTATACGATAAGTAGTTAAATTTGAGTAAGGTTGGTTCGACATTGTTTATGTAAACGTTAGTCACTAATAAAAATAATACCTGAAATTGGTTTATTAATCCATTATTGATGATTTCGATTCGAATTGCGATTGTATATCTTGTTCAAGTAGATTTAGTGAGTATGATTAATTATTATATCGTTTTAATAAAGAAAAGAACAAAAAAAAAAAAAGCAGATCATTGTGTCGAGTATTATACATTATATAATACTTAAAATATAACTTCACGACGATAAGTAATTATTTTTTAGTTCTTTTTGAATTTTTACTGGTTCTTCCTCTTTTGCTTTCAACCTTAGCCTCTTGTTCACCTAAATATTCCAAATCATAGTCTCCATCTTCTGGAGCATCTTCAACTCGAGTTCTCCTATCTTGTGTGTTATCATGAATAGGCAACTCAAGAGCATCCAAAGCTAAATCAGACAAAGTTTTTTTACCTTTTCAGCTTTGAGTTGTATTAACGCTAGTCATGTTGGAGAACAGTGAGTTCGGGTATGAATCAGATTCGACAATAACAGGGGATGCAGAAGACAAACTGGTACTCTGTTTAGTAGCTCTGGTTGTTACTCTACGAGGCCTCTTTAATGTTTGCGAAGAAGCAGATACGGTATCTTCAGCAATCCGGTCGATATCGGAACGAGGATCAGTAATAGTTGAGGAAGTGAATTCTTGTGCGTTCTGAGTCATGTTAACATTGGCAGTCATGAAGTCTATATCCGTGACTTCGAGCATGGTGAATTCAGGAGTTACGCGTTTGATAAAACCAGACACGATAAACGTCCTGCCTATTTTAATACTATTGTTAACACGCAAATATGAGAATCTTGGAGCGTTGGTAAAGTAAAAGATTCTCGTTTTCATATGAACATTTTTCGAGTTTGTGTGCGAATTATATTGATAACAACTGGCATCAAAATAAGTTGAATCTCCCAGTTCTCTAGATTCGCGACTGACTAACACAGTAAACATACAATGGGGAACGCTAAGTGGGATTTCGCTGGGCTCAAACTCTTGAGTGGGGTCACCAACAGCAATAACAGAGGCGTAAGACACTGTAATATACTGTTCTAAATTTTCTATCACAAATTTCCCAGCAAACATCATAATATCACCAACAGAAAATTCGGTATAAGCTTTTTGAAAAGGGTAAAAATATTTCCAATGGATTATGTTAAAATCATCTTCATTTACTCGATACTTAGCGAGGCCTTGAGTTAAAGAACTGGAATCCACTTTAGTAATGATTATAACAACCAAAGAACTATGGGAAGGCATCGTTAGGGTTAGCGCTAGAATTTAATGATTTAGATTAGGTTGCTTTGTATATTATACAATAAAAACTGACGAAGAAGAAATTCAAACGACTTTTCTCGCAGGTATATATATATTTTAACACATTATAAATAAGTTACTATACAGCGTTTGTTAGAAGGAACATAAAGAGTTTATTAATCGTGTCAAGTATTCGTTACTATAACAATATGTTAACTTATCTTTAGTAAATAACGTACACTTTACACGAAATTTCAAGCCCAAAATAAGTATTTTTATACTATCTATTATTAACTATTTACCGGTAAGTGACTATGTGAATAAGTTACGCTTTAAAAAAAGAATTAAAATTTGTACGTCGAAACAATAAGGCACTTATTTTAACTGAAATCGAACGATAAATATTTAATTTGTAATCACCTAATAATAGGAAACTTAACATCTTAGCAACAATAAAGATAGACGATATTGAAATATTTATTGATTTGATCATCTTAAAAAAACAAAATAAAATATATAGTTATACAGGTAAATATACGATAGTAACAGGTAAGATGCATATATATTTATGCATGTAAATAAATCATTATGCAACTCAATAATTTTTAAGTTCAAAATTTAACGTGAAAATGCGATAATTATGAAAAGTTTGCTTAATATATACTGTATGTCGAAACATGATAAAAATAAATACAATAATCGTAAATAAAAAATTTAAGGTTTTAATTTAGGCAGATCGATTTCAAGAAGCCGATCAATCGATTATTTACTATATTAAGAAATTATCATATGAATAAAGCGTATTACGAAACAAAAAGCAAAATATAATAAATACAACCGGAATACGACAAAAATCTTTGAGGGCACACGAGCAGATCTATCTATCTGAGCGTTCAACACTTCTCAAGATAGTTCAGATAAGATATATAAAATTTTTGGACGAAAATCTTTCCGTTTTAGTCTAAAAGGAAATGTGGCGGGTCACGGGCAAGGTCAAAATCCAATAATAACAAATAAACGTGAACAAATAAGCACACAATTAGCAATGATCAGAGTTATGCCGACCAAAAAGATAAAGGGTTAAATCGTACAATATGGGTCATCTCATTATGCTAAAAGTTAATGTGAAACGTACACTAGGACTATTTTGCGTGAAATAATCTTTATTCAGTGGCCAATTCAAGTAAGGTGAATATGCACAATTTACGTATAAAAGAAGATGATTTGTACACAGAACACTACAGAAATGCAATAATTTAAAAAGTCTGTGAATTATAGAATCTTAAAAAAAGAGTAAACTGCCTGTAATAAAAAATATAATATCGATATATACATTTTAACCTTAAGCAGCACAGATTTGTGTACGTACGTACGTGTGTCATTTTTATGGCTGTATGATCTCGTGATATGTATTGTGAGACGTAAAGCAAAATTCTACTTTTAGCTTGTGAACAGAATAGTTTGTGATAACTTAGGATTTCATTTTGTTATACGTTACCGCAAAATTTAACAGTAATTTTAGAAGTAATTTTAAGTTGGAATAGTAGTACTTTGGGCACTTCTGTACCATGTCAAGTAAAAGGAAATCAATAATTCTCCATAAATGGCTCGAAAAAAATTAAAAGACGATGATGTCATCAAATTTGAATTTTCTACATATCAAAATATACAAGAAATCGGAAAAGGTAAATAACGTCTTATTAGTTCATATAATACAAAAACAATACTGATATTTTATTTCATTAAAACGTTGAAGGTGGGTTTGGTATTGTTTATTCGACATATCGTGATGGGAAAAGGTACGCATTGAAAACCTTTAAAAATGACGATGCGAATAAAGAAGTAACTAAGGATTTTATTAAAGAGGTGCGTTATTCGTTGTCTTCAATATCTGGTCTCTTATTTGAATCTATATATATTCATAGCTTAAACAATTACATGCTATTACTTTTCATCCTAACATTAACAAATTCTATGGAATTACGCGCGGTATTACAATAATGTTATTGCAAATATCTTTAAATAATTTTTTTTCTAATCATTATTTGATTAGATCCTATAAAAAATAAATTCATGTTGGTTCTACAATTTGCCAACGGAGGGAATCTACGGCAATATTTAGAAAAAAAGGGCTCAATCATACTTTTGAAATCTCATTAAATGAAATTATCCAAATTTCAAAACAAATTACTGACGGATTAGATCATTTGCACAAAAATAATATAATTCATTGTGACTTGGTAAGTATTAATTTATTATTTGTCGTGGGTGATGCTGAAATTTGAATTAAAAATTTTTGGGGTTTTTTCGCATTTATTTTTAGTTGGTTATAGCTTGAGTTTAGAATTGATAATTAAAGAGATTATGCGGATTTTAGCAGTGCTTGTATTTAATTCGCGACCCCATAAAAATTTCAGCATTAGCTGCGACATTATTCTACTGTAATTCCCAACTTTTTGAATTCTTAAATTAATTTTGAATTATTTTATTAAGCATTCTAAAAATATCTTGATAAACGATGATAAATTTTTAATTGCGGATTTTGGGTTATCAAGAAAAATAGATGACACTTACAACTCTTCAGCTTCGATAATAAAAGGCATGCCTGCATATCTTGATCCATATTGTCATTGCGAACCCGGGAAAAAACTTGACCAAAAGTCAGATATTTACAGTTTAGGTGTAATATTTTGGGAGCTTACAAGTGGAATTCCTCCATTCGCAAGTGCTTTTAATGGAATCATCACATTAGTATATGCATTAGCTGGCTTCCGAGAACAAGTAATTCCCGGTACGCCAATAGGTTACGAAAAACTATATAGAAAATGCTGGAATACTGAACCGGAGGAACGTTCAACAATAAACAAAATTCTTGAAGATCTTAATTCAATATCAAAAAGAGAAAACACAATTTACACGTATTATAAATCGAAATAAAGAACTTAAACCTGCCTTAGATACAACAATAAAGGAACGTTCCCAATTTCACAAAAATATGCATGCTGATGATTTATCTAAAGCATTTATAGAAACTACATCTATACTGAAGCCCAGGAGACCATCTCATTCTAGCTCGAAGACTTTTGTGACTAAATCAGTTAAAGAATTTTTCCTTAGACAAAATCTCGACAATGCGGACGAATTGAAGTCTCAAGGACAAATTTATTATTTGTCAGAAAATTATAAAGAATCTCTTGAATACTTAAGCAAATCATTACGTATTTATCCAGGCGATGCTGATGCGCTGAGGTTTCGAGGGGAAACCTATTTTAAGCTAAAAAAATATCAAGAGTCGCTTATAGATTTAAATAAATCATTAGAACTTGAATCAAATAATGCAGTTGCGTTAAGATCTCGAGGAAAAACATATAACATGATAAATTGTTACGAAGAATCTCTTACAGATTTGACTAAATCTTTAGAAATTGATTCGGATAATGCAGTTGCGTTAACAACTAGAGGACAAACGCTTTACATGCTCAATCGTTATGAAGAATCTATCACAGATTTAACTAAATCCTTAGAAATTGATCCAGATAATGCAATTGCGCTTAGATTTCGTGGACAAGCATATTATATGCTAAAGCGCTACGAAGATTCTTGTAAAGATTTAATTAAATCATTAGAAGTTAACCCAGATAATTCAGTTGCGCTAAGATTCCTCGGTCAATCTTATTTCGCATCGGGAAAATATGATGTATCATCGAAAATTTAAGTGAATCATTGAGATTTGATCCTAAAAATGTAGATACATTAAGGTTTCTGGGAAAAACCCGAAAAAATATAAAGAATCTCTTGAATATTTAACAGAATCATTGAAATTTGATTCAAAAAATGTTGATGTACTAAGAACATGTGGACAAGCAAACTATATGACTAGAAATTATGAAAGTTCTCTTGATGACTTAAATAAAGCATTAGAAATTAATCCAAATGATGCAGAGTCTCTAAAGGGCTAGAGGAAAAACCTATTATATCTTGGAAAAATATAGCGAATCACTTAAAGATTTAAATGAATCATTAAGAATAGAACCAGACCATCCATTTGCACTAAGGACTCGAAAACAGACATATTATAAATTAAAAAATTGTAATGAATCACTTATCGATTTAAGTAAATCGATGGAATTTGAACCAGATAACGTAATCGCACTAAAGCTTCGAGGACA